ACCCACGGTGCTGAGCCTCTTCTCATGTATCTGTGGGCCATCTGTATGTCCCCCTGGGAGAAGTGTCTGTTCAGGTCCCTCACCCACTTTTTAATTGGGATTGTCTGTCTTCTTGCTGTTCAGTCATATGAGTCCTTTACATATTTTGGAGATTAAACCTGATGTATCATTGGCAAATATGTTCTCCCAACATCACTAGCCATCAGAGAGATGCAAATTAAAACCAGAATGAGACATCACCTCACACCTGTCAGAATGGTGATAATTAATAACAAACAACATTAATCAATCAACAAACAACAAGTGCTGGCAAGGATGTGGACAAAAGGGAACCCCAGTGCACTGTCGGTGGGAATACAGACTGGTACAGCCACTGTGGAAAACAGTGCGGAGTTTCCTCAAAAAAAAATTAAAAATGGAGCAGCCTTTTGACCCGGCAATTTCACTGGTTGGAAAGTACCCTAAAAATCCCAAATCAAAAATTCAAAAGTACCTCTGCACCCCTATGTTCACAGTAGTGCTATTTGCAATAGTCAAGTGGTGGAAACAGCTTAAGTGCCCATCAGTAGATGAGTGGATCAAAAAACCGTGGTCCATTCACGCAATGGAATCCTACACAGTGGAAAGAAAGAAGGAGCTCTACCCTTTGCAACAGCATGGAAGGAACTGGAGACTGTTATGCTAAGGGAAATAAGCCAAAGATAAACACCATATAATCTCACTTATAAGAGTTTAATGAATAAAATAAACCAACAAGCAAGGTAGGACCAGAGACAACAGACTGGCAGCTGCCAGAGGAAACGGGGGAGGGGGGTAATGGTGGGAAGAAGGGAAAGGATTAGTCACAAAAACATGTTTGAATGACCCACAGACATGGACAACAGTGTGGGGACTGACTGTGGGAGAAAGGGAAGGGTAGGTGGAGGAGGGCTAAGGGGGAAAAGTGGGGACAGCTGCAATGGAAAAACAATAATATTAAAAAAAATTAAAAAGAAAGCATCCCTGGGTAAAGGCGATAACATTAACCTAATCAAATTCCCAATGCTAGTGCCTGTGAACAGCTCGCACCCTGTGAAAGTGTCTGCGAGGACTCTGAGCACCATGTCGCTTGATGTGCATGTGCTCGAACTCCCATCAGCGCTTACACAGCCGGCTCTAAAACACTCTGTGTTCACACAGGCCGCTGTGGAGTTTACAAAATGTCTTTACCTCATCCTGACAGCAGTCAACACTTAATGAGGGACCGCCACTCATTCCTAAATCTAATGACCAATTAATTTTCCATATCATTTCCCATATGCATGTATGTATGTATGTATTTTTGGTCTCTCCTCTACTAGAGTATAAATGCTCTGAGGACAGAGAGTTCTTTGTTTGGCTTACTGCCTTATTCCCAGCACTTAGAAGAAGTACACGTTTTTTTTTACAAATATTATGTACTTGCTAGATGTCTACTTAACTAACTAACAATGTCTAACTCTCCTAATGGCTTACTTACAGTCACACAGTTCCTGGGGCTCTGTGTGCAAGTGGTGTGATTGGACAGACCGAACGCTTAGCCACTCTGCTGAGCGAAAACAAATCCTTAATACCCACAGCATAAAGATGTCTGGACCATAACATAATCTTACTCTGCTCTGGCCGAAACGTGCAGGTGAACTTGGGAGTAATGAGATTGACTGAGAGTGAATTATTCAACCCGGCCCACGACTGTCTCGCAGCAAGTGGCTGTTACTCTCTCCTACACCTTGTTTTAGTTTCACTAAAACTAACTCTTGCAGTTTAACAACTTTGCTTCGTCCTTCATTTTTAATCTTCCAGTGACATAGATTTGCTGAAGTCTGGTTTTTACTTGACCCACGATAAGAGTTTTCCCCTTTTATGAGGGAAGAGAAGCACCACTTAAAAACAAATCTGGTGCTTTTGTCTTTTGTCACGACTTATAGTTGCCGATTTTTATTTTTACTTATAATTTCCTTTGTTTCTCCCCCGTTTCTTTGTAGGTTGTTTCATTTTCTGGCTTTTAAATGATAGTTGAGAAGGCAGCTTTTATGTTTAAAAACTACACTTTAAAAAAATTCTCAGCATCAAAAACAAAACAGTAGTATTTATTCCATCCTGTCTAAAGTGAGAAAATCAGCAGATTCTTATTTACGCTTATAAAATCCTCTTTTCCTCAGTTTTTATTGACACAATAATGAATTATAGACCTAGACCACAATTGTGAATTTTTTACACTGTACATCCTCTCTTTAAGTAATTCATTTTTATATTAGTCTTGTCTTTTGTAACATATTTAGAGCAAGCACTTAGCATTAATGCTATGCATAATTAGTTTCTATACTCGCTCGGGGTCATTTTACCCCATATTTCTTTATTTTTGTTTTCTCCACTTTGACTCATTGCTCAGCCAATTGCTCTTTGAAAGATTTATTAGAAGCAGGGCACGAGGGAGTCTGTGGATCCTGAAACTGTCTTTCTGATGTATTTGCACAAGAACAACAACTTGGCTGATCAGGAATTTGTGGGTTATAACATTTTCTCCTCAAAAATCCTCCGGGCTTAGCTGCATTGTGTGCTTGCTTTCCCACGTGAAGAAATCCGAGAGGGCCCAGGCAGAGATTTGTCAGCCTGAGAACAGCTTTTCTTCTCCTGTTACCCTTTCACCCAACCCAGTTCAGGAAAGCCTAAACACCAAATACAGTAACTTGAAGCAGGGCGTGTAGTCTTTCTCCCGCCAGAAAAATACAGCACTCTAAAAACACAATAGCCCCCACAGCTTTTCCTCTCTGTGCTTGTGAGGCCAGCTCTACCCTTAGGACGACTGGCCTTCGGACCCTACCCGTTCCGCTCCTGCTCGTGTCTCACTCCTGCGAATGTCAGATCCAACATGGGAGGCCACACGGTGTGGGCTTGAAAGCAGGAGCAACTACTGCTTATGGATGAGCAGGCCTTGCTCGTCTTGGACGTAGTAATAGACACTGTTTCCTCGACGCGGCAGCTTCAGCGTGGGGCGGCTGTATTCCCAATGGGAAAACCCCATGTCTTGAGAAGGGGGCCTGTGGTGGGATGTTTGGAGAGTTAACCCCCCAGAAGTCCTCCTGCCTGACCTGCTCTCCTGTCCGGGGCCAGTGATGCTCCACTTGAAGTCCATTTGTCAGTGTTTTGGGTTCTGTAGACTTGGTCTCTTGCTGGGTTTTCATGGGAATCTTCATAGGAACGTAACAGAGTGTGAACCGAGTACCGACAGCCACCCCGCTGTTCGAAGCGAGCACTCCTGACAGCATCTCTTAAAGTGCCTCCAAGAGCAGGGAAAGCCACACCTTGCCAGGGCCGTGCTGAGCCAAAGCCCTGGCTGGTATGGGATGCAGGGGACCAGGGGCAAGGCGGGCCCGGAGATGCTCCTGCCCACGCTCCCGTCTTCCCCCCTAGCAAGCCAGTGTTTCGTGCAGAGGGAGGAGCAGATGGACAGGTGGAAGGCAGTCTGGCTGCTTCTCTTTGCAATGTCATTGTCTCCGTGACGAGTGTTGCCTGAACCAGTAATACATGCAGAACTGAAATACCAAGGTGGAATTTAAATGGGTCTGTGGACATTTTAAATGTTAATTGGTTCCTCAAACCAGGTTTCTCACCAGGTAATGGGTGCCACTGACAGACTAAACCGTGTCTGCCACCAGAGCCTGCGCAGGACGTTCTCCACACACGTCACCGCATCTTGCTTTGGTCTCAGCTTTCCCTCCTCCAGGGGCCCTCTCGCTTCTCCAGCTACGCCGTGGAGCGCGGCACACTCTCCACTCCCGTGCGTTTCCATGAGGGTGCATGCAACGTAACCTTAATGTGAACTGTCGGGCCCAGTGTACATCAGCGGTTCATCGTGCATGTGTTGAATGAAACAGGTTAACGTGGGCTATGTCCATGAAAGCATCGTAGGTGGGAGAGACAGACTTATGCATAAGGGGAATTCAAGATACTTAGCTTGCAGAAACTAAGACCGGATGGGTGTGTTTGTGAAGAGTGGGAGTAGATACTACAGAATATCTTCTGGAACAGAAGGAATACCACCTGGGAAGGCGACTGCATTGGTTCTGTCGGTCCCTAAGGGTATAAACCCAGAGCAATGCACAGAAACCATAAAAGACGTATTTTGACTGATGAATACTTCATACAAAAAAAAGGCTACCTCACCTTTGGGAGAAAAAGTATTTTCTAATGTGGTTAATGGTCATCATAAAGAAGCTAGGGTGCACCGATTAACTAAAATATGCTTAGTATATTCATAGATATCGGATTAATAGGTATTTTATAGGTGAGGAAATTAAGATTCAGGCCATGTAATTTGTCCAAGTGAAACACCATTTTTTTATCCTCTCATACAGAGATCTGCAAAATTTTTCTGTGAAGGTCCATGTGGTAAATATTTCAGGCTTCACGGGGCGTAAAGTCTGTGGCAACTACTCAGCCGTACTGCTGCAGCATCAAAACAGCCATGAGACTATATAAATGAAAAAGCATTGCTGTAGTAAAAACAAAATCGGCCTGGCCAGGCAGCTCAGTGGGTTAGAGTGTTGTCTCAATGCACCAAGGTTGCAGGTTTGATTCCTGGTCAAAGCACATACAAGAAGCAACCAAGGAATAAATAAGTAAGTGGAACAATGACTTCCTTCCTTCCTTCCTTCCTTCCTTCCTTCCTTCCTTCCTTCCTTCCTTCCTTCCTTCCTTCCTTCCTTCCTTCCCTCCCTCCTTCCTTCCTTCCTTCCTTCCTTCCTTCCTTCCTTCCTTCCTTCCTTCCTTCCCTCCCTCCCTCCCTCTCTCCCTCTCATCAATAAAAGAAAAACTTAAAAAAAATTAAACAGCTTATTTGCCAAAATGAAGGTATGGGGCTGGATTAAGTTCACGGACGCTATTTGTCAAAGTCTGCCCTAAAGTTTCACTGCCTTCTCACCTGAGAAAGGGGAACATACAAACAAGACAAGCAACGGCCTCCATGTGGCCATACTTACACCATTGGCTTTGCTGAGTGCTTGGAAGTAGATACTGTAGCTTTTCAGAGGGGAAAGAGGGGGGTTCCAGTAGCCATTGTAAGTCTTGTTGTCGCCCACCGTAAAGGGCTGAGTGACGGGCAGGTTGGCGGGCTTCAGCTCAGCAGCGAAGTAGTGCAGAGAGTCGAGGCTGGAGGCGTTCCTGTAGCTCACAGGCACCGAAAAGCACTCAATGATGTCGGCCGCCCGCCGTGACTTCTGCAGTCTCTCCTCCTTGACAACCAGCTGATAAACACTGGACAGGGCAGAGAAGAGGCAAATGAACACTGGAGGGATGGACTGGTTAGTCATTATCATCACTTCTGTCGACAGCTAAACCTCCCTCCGGGGCTGCGGACTTACAAACCACTGCTTTGTAGAAATCTACCTCCCAAAGCCAGTTCACACGGGATGTGTCCTGGATGCAACTCGGTCCCAACCCCTGCAAACCTGCCTGCTCCTCCTACATTTGTTTCTTCCTTAGGGAAGCATAGTGCTGTCCATCGAGTGGCCAGATCTTACATTTGGGGCTCATTCTCGATTCCTACTTCCTTGGATCTCACTCTGCACCTCTAATCAACAAGCCCTGTCCACTTGACCTCATCAGTCTGCACCTGCTACCCCGCCTTCTCCTCCTCCCACTCATAATGTTGAGGATGGGCACTTCCCCCCTCTTACCGCAACTTAACTGGTCTGTTTTTAATTTAACTGATCAGCTAACTAGTCAATCCACTGATCTTCCTAGTCATATAGCACTGACCCTCTTCTCACACTTTCACAGGCTCTCCACTATTCGGATGACATGAGCCAAACTCCCCTTCCTGGCATTAGGGACACTGTGAGCCTGGCATCCAGCCCACCTCTCAAAAGTCTGATTAAGGAGGAGAGAAGAAACAGCACATGTACGTTGTGTAAGTTTCCTCGCCCTGATGCTTACACTTTAGGAAACAGTGTGGGAAGAAAGAAAAAGAAAGTGGGTATCATTTTGTTAATTGTGGTAACTTTGTCTCATCATCATGGTCTTGGAAATATATTCATTTCAGCTCTTTTCACCTTGCTGATAATGATAAAATCATACCTAAATGAGAATAACTCCCCAAAGTCCTACTTTAGTACAAAAGAATTGGTTGCAATAAACTATTTAGGGTTATTTGTAAACAACAAAATTTTTTTCCATGCTAGAAAGCTCCTGCGAGTACGAGAGAAGGATAACTGACAATGCTCACCTCGCACCATGGAGCATTTACTCGCACATTCCACCCCCCCGCCACCGTGACACCTGCTCTGCTTCTCCCAGTGAGAAGACAGGCATTTATGACCATATTTTCTGCGTCACTTAATGTGAGGATCTTATCTTGCAGGTCCCTGAAAGCTATACTGCAGCCCCACCTCAATGCGTGAGGCCAAGGAGAGTTTGACCCTTCTGACACCTCCCTGCTTTGGGTGTCCTCGCTGCGGATCACCTTTGATGTCCACTGCTCTTCCTCTTTGCTACAGTGACTGACCCCCAGCCCTCTTCTCCCCAGCTTCTCAGGCCCAGGCTTGCCAGAAACTTCCACCCTTTACTTTCGGCGTCTCCTGAGTCTAGAACTCTCTACTCCGGTCCCAAATCACAAGACCTGCCTCAACCCCTAGAGGATAGTTGCCTCACACACTTTTAAGAGCAACGCTTGAAGGAACTCCTCTGCAGGCTTCAGAGAGCCCTGCTGCTAGGCTGTCATGCTTCCTCGGAGTCTTAAACTAATGGTTTAGATGATGACTCCTGCTTTTCTGAGAGAGACCGGGACCTATCAGAGCCAGCCATCCATCACTGACACACCCTTTGTCCCTTTCTGTATCTAGGGAAGATGTCTCCAGCCAGAGGCTGCGTGCACTCAGGATGTGGACATCCAATGGTAGAGAGTACACTGCAGCTCGAAGTTGAAGTATCCTTGATTCCAGAAGAGCACACCTGGGCTCAGGTTCTCCCAGAAATAGACTTGCTTTAGTTCTAGTTCTTCCAGAAACAGACCCTACACCAAGGTTTCAATGCAGATGATGTGTTGTTAGGGAAGGGGGCCCCAGAGAAACCAGTGAGGGGATAGGGGAGAGAAAAGGGGAGGGAGCCAAGCCAGGATGGGATTTCAGGCAAAGTTCCAGTCTCAGTGCAATCCTAATGGGAGCTCTGGAGTATATCCTGTACCCAAGACTTAATCTCATCTCAGCTGGTCTCCCAGTGCCAATTGGCTACTGGCTGTGCACTCCACTGCAGAGACATCAAGTCCCAGGCACTCCCAGTTCTGTGTGTGGGGCAGACAAGGGGGCTGCAGCAGTCTAATGGCAAACACTGCAAGAAGGTCACAACGGACAGGTCGCAACGGTCACACATATGCATCAAAGCACACAGAAGCTGGTGGATGGGTACACTGCAAGAAAGGGGCAATGAGGAGACCTGAGTTGACACCTACCACAGTGCCCCCTACAGGGCACTCATGAGACTTGCATAGGAGCCAGGATCCAGTTGGACCTTGTACTTTTCAACCTTTGTTTCCAGCCCCACTCAGATGAAGCACATGGTGATATCCCATCAGTCCCAGGGACTTTTCTACCACTGATCAGGGACTTTTCCTTTTATGATACTATTTGTTTATTTGTAAACTTGTATTTTTATAGTTGTATAGGAGACAGATACGAGGAGTTAATAGATATACACAAATATGAAATATCTAAGTAATTGTGAAATAAAAACAGTTTCAGCCCAGAGGGAGTCCCTCCGGGCAGCTCCCACACCCTCTGAGGCTCCACTGGTCATCGAGCGCACCTTCACCCGAGAACACCGCAAAGTGCTCGGGGCTGACCTGTGCCCTCTGCACCAAGATTGCAATCAGGCGTTTCTCCCAAGAAGAAATGTAGAAGGCAAGATCTGGGTACCTAGTGAGCTCATTGCTACAGCTCCTCCTCCCCTGAGGACATGTTTATTGATTTTAGAGAGCGGAAGGAGGGGAAAAAGAGAGAGAGAAACAGCAATGTGAGAGAGAAACACTGATTGGTTGTCTGTCATCGGTGCCCTGACCAGGAGCCGAACCAGCAGCTGAGGCATGTGCCCCGCCCAGGGATCAGCAGGGTGACCTTTCAGTATGCAGGATGACGCTGCAACAACTGAGCCACCCAGGCCAGGACTAAATTTTTTAGACATCAAAAATTTATATTGATTGTTCATACTGATGTCGCCAATTCAAATCCATAAACACTACAGTCTTCCTCACCTTCCCCATTCTACATTGGCTTTTCCTTTTTTCTACAGTGAGACCCCGCATTTCCAACAGTGACATTTTTACTCATAAACTCTCTCCCACAATACACACAGAATCGTCAGAATTAACTCGCCAATGCCACAACCACTCTTAGTACTTATAAATGAAGCTCACGGTTTCTGTCCTTCCCTGCTCCAGTTCCCTCCCAGACAAGCCAGGCCTAAGCCGTGAGACAGGGCAGAGCAGGGCAGGCACCTGTATGGGGTGGGCAAAGCCAAGAGAGCGCCATATGAGGAGCAGAAGCCCACCTGGCAGCCCTGACGCCAGGTCAGGTGATCTGGGAGGTCAAAACAGCCTTCAGAGTAACATTAAGATGTTCGCCTTGTGCACTTTCAGTGTCTCACAAGTGTATAGTGGAGTTGGTTTGGAGCCACAGGAATTCTCTTCACTTACTTCAGTCAAGCAACGCAGGGCGACAGCCTGAGTGCAGAAGCAGATGCGGTGTCGAGCAGCTGTCCAGTGCACCTGACGTTAGAGGTCAGCAAAGACGTAAAACGAGGCTACACTTCTCCCTAAGTCACTTTTGTTTTAGAAGATAATTGTCTTCATAAAAATATGTTATTTATGTTATGTGTGATGGGCTTACTGCTATGGTTTATTTTTATTTTTTTATCTAAAGTTTTGTTAAATGAATGAATACTTAAAATATTTCTCAGTTGCATTTTCTATTACAGTGAATTGATATATGACATTAGACTTAACTCACATAAATTAAGCTTAAGGTTTTTAAAATTTCATTTGTGCCCTTTGACTACTTACCAGTTGACCAATCAGCTTTCTGTTTCTGTGAGTCTATTTTCTACGAGTTGGTTTTTCCAGTCTTTTGAGATATAACTAATAAATAAAATATGCATATATAAGATGTACACTGTGAGGCTTGAATAGATGTATACATTGCAAAATGGTAACACAGTTGAGCTAATGAACACATTCATCACCTTGCATAGTTACCATTGTGCATGGTGAGAACACAAGGTCTATTCTCATAGCAAATTTCAACTACAAAATACAGTGTTGCACAGCTCTGCAGAACTCGCTCATCCTGCACAGCTCCTGGGCCAGCGCCTCCCCATCTCCTCTGCCCTCCAGCCTCTGACAACTGCCACTCTACCCTCTGCTCTTACGAATGTGGCTATTTTAGACTCCACATGTAAGTGAGATCATGCAGTCGTCGTTTTTCTGTGTCTGACTTATTTCGCTTATTATAATATCCTTCTGATTCATCCATCCATGTTGTTGACAATGGCAGGATTTCCTTCTTTTTTAAGTCTGAATAATACTGTATTGTCTCTACACACCACACTTTTGACTTCACCAAGGTCACAGGACACAAAGTCAATGTGAAAAATTCAATTACATGTTTATCATTAGCAAAGAGCAATCTGAAAATGAACATAAGTAAGCAATTTCATTCACAGTAATATAAAAAATACTTAGAAATAAATTTTAAAAAGAATTAAAATACTTGTATATTAAAAAGTTCAAAACATTGCTGGGAAATTGAAGAAGATCTAAGTAAACGGAGGCATGTTCTATGCTTATGGTTTGGAATAGTCAATATTATAAAGATGAAAATTTTCAACAAATGCATCTATAGATTTAGGGCAATCTCTATCAGAATCCCAAGACACTGTCTAAAAACTAACAAGCTGATACTAAACTGAATATGGAAATTCAAGGATCCATAAGAGAAAAAAAGTTTAAAATAATTAAAAAGTTGGAAGGCCTACAGTTCCTGATATCATAATTTATGAAAGACAATACAGTTGATAGGTATAGAATAGACTTATAGATCAATAAAAGGGAATTGAGAGTCCAGAAATAAACCACTATATTTATGATTGATTGATTCTTGACAAGATGCTAAGACAATTTCATGGTAAAAGAATAATCTTTAAAGTAAATGATGCTGAGTTAATGGAATGCTCACATGAAAAAATAGAAATTTAAATTTATACTACAC